CGGCCCCCAGACAGAAGCAGCACACACGGGCAAGGCGCAGGAGGAAACTGGGTATACTCGAGGAGCCTCCATCTCATCGCCATTGTGATCAGAAAAATAGAGAGGGATCTCAAAGTACAAGGCAAGAGCCACGCTAATTTGTAAAAATAGTCACGTATTTAGTGGCTGTGATGGGTCTTAGCTGTCGCACTCAGGATCTTCAAACTGGCTTAGCGTGAGAACTTTGAGCTGCAGCATGTGGAATCTGGTTCCCTGACCAGGGTTTGAACCCAGGCCCCTTGCATTGGAAGTGCAGAGTCTTAGCCACTGGACCACCAGGAAAGTCCTAGCCATATTAATTTTAAAGATAAAAATCTGAGTTTTAGAATTCCTACTTTATTCCAAATTAGGCTGCTTCACCTTATTCCAAACTACGCTGTTTCTGGTTGCTCCACAAGCAGGGAGTGAAAAAACCTTGCAGTTTTTAAGTGCTGATAATAGATTTAAAATGTTTTTACTGGGCCAAGGCAGTCTTAAACTATAAGGGGGACATTCACAGACCAAAAGGCAACTTCCTGGCTTGTCCAAAGAGTATAAGAACTCTCCCAGTAACTCAAATTGATTCATTTAGGCTGTGGTCTTCTGACGTCCTCAGGGCAGTCAGAATATAGCTCAAGGAAAGTCAGTATTTCACACAAGTGATACCGTGGGAATATGAAGAAGCCATTCACTCCCCAGTCACAGACTGCAGTCATCAGAACAGATGAACCTCAGAAGGAATGGAAGCAGGAAAGAATGATCACTCACCAGAGTGGGTCTACATGAGACACGCTGATGACAAATGCCTCCCCAGTCTGGCCTGAGAGAGTCCGCCCACTTTTATCAACAATTGTCCCTGAAATCTGCATTAACAAAGTAAACTCAGTCAACCACATAGACTTAAGAATACAGTCTCAAAAACAAAACAAAATTAAAAAGCTTTAAAAAAAAAAAAACATGAAAGAGAACTGTAGCACTCCAACTTTAAGGCAACACTGTTTAACCATGGTTGGAAACAGATGAATGCAAAGTGCCCAGGGGAGGGGCTGGAAAGCCACAGAAACAGAAAAGGGAAAGTCAGGGAGGCTTTAGGATTCACACCACCAGTCCTATTGGAGAAGACTTTCCACAGATATTTAAGCTTATCCTGGTCTCTTGCTGTTCAACATGTGATTCGTATAACAACCCTTGTGGGTTCTAATCTACTCTCAGCAAGCAGTGTGGGCCTGCCTAGTGCATCAGTGAACTGGCAGTCTGCTGTCTCTGGTGGTGGACACTTCATGGTCAGATTCAAGTCCGTCCCTCCTTGGGCCCTAGAGACAGTGCGCCTTTGACTCTGGGGGACCAATTCAGCCAGGCTTCCTTGGAACAGCCTGCCTTTCACCAACCACCTCTAGATTCGTTGTCTTCACATTTCCACAGATAAGACTGCTATTGGTCTGAAGGTGTTAGTAGGAAGAAGGTAAAAAGAGGAAGTTAAAATAATTGGTTCCTAAAAGATGATCAATACTCTCCAAAGTTCTATGTCAGGAAAACTAAAATCCCACCCTCAAAATGATGATATTAAAAAAAACACACACACAAAATTCATCATGCAAATACTTTAGAACTTACAAAGACAGGCCGGGGAACATACTCCTCTTCAAAAAGTTTTTGAACTGCAAACAAAGCTGCCTGCCAGGGAGAAAAAGGACATCTTTGTTACTGAGAGACTGTGTCAAAGGTCACAGACTAACAGGCTGATCAGAATGTTCCTTTTACCAAGGCCTCTTCAGATAAGACACATATTATGCTCTCTGGGGAGGAGAAAGAAGTCTCCATGTAACATACAATATCCACACCCCTTNTCAAGCCACTGTTTCCCCATGTATTTGCCACGAAGTGATGGGACCAGATGCCATGATCTTAGTTTTGTGACTATTGAACGTTAAGCCACTTTTTCACTCTCCTCTTTCACTTTCATCAAGAGGCTCTTTAGTTCTTCACTTTCTGCCATAAGGGTGGTGTCATCTGCATATCTGAGGTTATTGATATTTCTCCCAGCAATCTTGATTCCAGCTTGTGCTTCCACTGTACGTATTACAACAAAACAAACGCTGACTGAAGTCCACCCATGGACTAATATTTCCCCTGAGGAAGAGCTGAAGAGCTACTCTTTTTCTTCCTTCTCTCAATCAAAACTAAAAAGAGATAAATATGAAGCCTCTACTCCCACAGCCTCACATAAACAAGGTAGGTACATGAACCAACAGTGTTTGTCACTGCAAACAAGAATATGAGTTAGAATGGGTTGTAAAGACACAAATGCTGTGTTAATCTGTACTGTCCATGTTTTCTTAAGTTCCAAGACCAGAAACTAAGGTCCTCCAATGTCCAAAGCTCTTCCATATCAGAACCCACAGACAGATACCGCATACCTAAAAACTATAATAAGGTAGTACTTTTCACCTATTAGAGTGGAAAAGACCAAAAAGTTCAATAGAGAGGGTATGGTGAAAGCAGCAGCATTCCTGTGGACTGCTCGCTGACTGGAGGATAAATGAGTACAATCTTGGAGGGTACTTTGACGTTGGAGATCAAAAGTAACAGTGCCCAGACTCTCTAACGCAGCAATTTCACGTGTAGAAATTTATACTTAGAGACACTGTCAAAAACGTATGCATGAGGATAGCCACTTTTTATTCCACACACCATGTACCTTTGTGCATATGTAAGGAATACAAGCACATCTGCACACTCACACGCATATTTTTCTCTGAATGGAATCTCCACAGGGCAGCCACACCAGTAACAGCAGCTGTCCCCGGGGAAGATGGCTAGATACCCAGGGAATGGGGACAGGGAGGATATTTACTTTTTACTCCATACATTTATCTTGAATTTTAGAATCGTGCATATATATTTGACCTATGCATCCATGCACATACAGTAGCTATACATGAAAATATTCAGTTTCATAATTGAAAAGTACTTTTTAAAAGAAAGATAGCCTTTCAAAGTTTCCTTCATTCTACTGGACTCAGTTAAAAATACTCAAGAATAAAACAGAATTGAGGAATTTGATTTAACTTGAATAATGTTCATTACATTATATGACAATATATAAAATATGTCATATTTCCTCACTTCATGAGGGGAAGCACCGTAGCCCACACCCCAGCTCAGCCCCCTTTTCGTCCTTTAACTCACCTTGGCATTGGCAGTATCAAAAATAGTTTCAATGAGTAAGATATCCACTCCACCATCCAGAAGCCCTTTGGCCTGCTCTTTGTATGCTTCAACAAGTTCATCAAATGCTGCAAAAAACAAACCATACCCAGGACATCAGTCATCGGTATCCTGTGAAAGCCCAGGACACACCAAATTTAGGCCTGGCTCCAGGTGAACTACCTATTGCTGGTTTATAGGCATAATTTAAGGGCAACACCACGTTTTGTAAGAAACATGGCAGTGATGGAAGTTAAACCAGCAAACTAAACACTGACACTCCTAAACACTCAGCGCACAAGCTCACTTCCCATGTGTGAGCAGAGAACGAGCCACTGGGTGGGGAGGGACATCATTTCTGGAGCCCTGGCTCTTACTTTAAGATCTTTAAAACAGATCTTTCCAGGGATGGTTTTTATCAATCAATTCAGGGAAGAGCGTGAGGAATAATTAGAGAAATGTGTCACACTGATCTGGATTCATGACTGGTCGAGTCACATTCTCTCACACCTTCTGGGGTAAAAGTCTGCGGTTCTATCGATTTTGCTCCTGTCCTCTGACACCAACTCCATCAGAGAAGAAACCTGCCTGGTGTGCAATTTCAGTCTCGGACACAAAAGGGTACAATTACTCCTAGGTAAAATTTTTGTTCAAAATGTCTTATCTATTTCCATCTCAGAGGTTATCCCACTCCCCATTTTATCTCTCACCCAGGAAAGGAAAGATGCACATATATTCAACAGAGTAGCCTACTTCATCTTACATAATGCAAGAGAAAGGAAAGCCCTCCACTGCCACACTAAGACCAAAAGAAGCTCCTGCCACATGTCAGCCCAGAATGAGCAACTCCTAGTGGAAAAGTGTGGTATCTGGAACCAAAATCTACAAATCGCGCTTGCCTGAACTTGTCTTCGACACACAGTTCATTACCACACATGGTATCATTACTATCCAGCTCGGACCGTTTAATTCTTTTTGTTTTTTTGCAGTCTAATGCTTAAACTGACCCAGATTTCTAGCCTCCTCATAAAATTTCAATGCATGTATGCTTATAGATGCTGGTGTATAATGTTAGTCTGTATATAACTGCTCCCTGACAAATAAAGTGGGGTCTAGTGGGCTATTCTACAAACTGACCAGGCCTAGTATCTATATTTGCTCAACTTCTCAGTTTAAAGTTTCATTTTGATTGGTTTTGTTTCCACAGCTGATAAAGAAGCCCAAACGTAACAACATGGATCTTTGAAAGCAGACACAAGATAAATAATACTAATCCAATGACTAATAACAGCTCACTTTTATTTAAATGTCTACCACACCCCAGAGACTGCTAGGCCCTTAAGTCACAACAACCCCGAAACAGAAGCTGGCACTGGCCCCATATTACAGATGCAAAGACTATGGAAACACCGAGGTACTTGCCCGAGGTCAATGACTGTATATGATACTCACTGATGTTCCTGTAATCTGGTCTTTCCACAGATGGGGACACAGAGAGTGTCTTGTTAGTTGGACCCAGAGCTCCTGCCACATACCTCTTAATTCCTTTGGGAAAAGAAAAACAAGTGTGAAATCCCTAAGTAGCTTGCCCTTTTTGTTGTGAGTCAATAGGCCATCAGATTTTCCCTAGAACACAGGAATACAATTCTTTGTCCATCGCTCTGAAATTAAAAAAGCACAAAAGCCTCACTTTTTCTGTTAATTCAACAACAAAACTTGACCTCACCTGAACCAGAAGAGGCTATTTACAGTTTTTACTCCACTTAGTGGACAATTCATAGATTTTACTGCAAATAGATATCTGATTATGAGGGCCATCCTGGACCCCATTGGGGAAATTATGAAACATGAAGTGCACATGTGACCTCCAAGCCAATGCAAAAACTGAATTCTCATATCTGGCCTCAAAGAGTTTCAGATAGGAATCCTTTTCTATCACAACAGCGATGTGAAAGTGAAAGTCATTCAGTCACGTCCAACTCTTTGCAATCCCACGAACTGTAGCCTGCCAGGTTCTTCTGTCCGTGGAATTCTCCAGGCAAGAATACTGAAGTGGGTTGCCATTTCCTTCTCCAGGGGATCTTCCCAATCCAGGGATCGATCCCAGGTCTCCTGCATTGTAGGCAGATTCTTTACCATCTGAGCTACCATGGAAGCATCACCACAGCTATGCTTGGACAAATTCTCTTTCTCCCTACCCTTAAGAAACCTTGAAGGTCATCAACATAGGTTCTGCAAAATTTCCTCACAGTAGCATGCTCGCCACTGCTGTACTGCAGGGCCTTTGCAGGGGAAAAATACTAAATCACGGTGGGTAATTACAAAGCCTGAAATTAAAGTACAAAGGAGATCAAATCTTACTTTAATAACTCTTTAAGCATTCCTGAATAATCTTTCCTCTAGGCTAGAGTCCTGGTGCTCCTAAGAGCCTGACATGTTGTGTTCATTTACATATCCTAACACTGCTCATCACCGGTGGTGATTTTACCCAAATGGTTATGTTTTCCATTTACCAACCAATCGATAACCCAGCTTTTAACAGGTTACAATATTCTTTACCCACCCGCACCCCCAAGCTGGACAATAATGTTGGTGTAAGAAAAACGTTCTTATCTTCCCCTGCTTGGCTGACTGAATATCCTCTGCTCTGTGACTCTACTGGGGCAATAGTCTATGCCCTCCCACATTTAACACGATCTCTCAGAAACAAAGTTCCTATAAATTGCTGCAGTCTTCATTAGTATGCTGTGTCTAACTTCCTAACAACTTTGCTTTACATCTTTCCTGTTGGCAACAATTTCACATTTCCAAATCTTAAGGGGTTCCATGTATTTCTTCTATTCCTTTCGCACCCTCAAAGCCTCCCCTCCAGCTGGTGCCCAAGTGTTCTCACGGCAGCCAGCCAGGAGGTGAGCTATTTTGGGGAGCCATTTTTCAAACCCCAGCAAGCCTGACGCTACTGTCACCCTCTTCTGTGGTACACAACAGCGCCTTCAAAGACATGAGTGGTGTGAAGTGGAAAACACGCGAAAGAGAATCTCTCTTTACCCAGGTTAAGGAAAACCTCAAGGATGAGGGTCACTTGAAAGGAGTAAGATCAAATATCTTAATGATCACCACTATGACCACAGCACTTGGTTGTGCCTCAATAACCTGAAGATGTGCTTCTGAAGGTAGAGAAATCTTCTTAGCTGTAAATAGATGGGGAAGCCATGGTCCTGGTAATAAAATCAAGATATAACATCGAGTAAACAGAGCATGAGACAGACAGACCCATGGAGACAGGGTCCATTCAGAGAGACGCTGAATGCCAGATTATGAAACTGCAGAGAAGGAACCTACAAACAAGTACACAATGGCATCTGCAGCGTTGCTCTAGGCCAGCTGTCACGGAAGGAAAAACGGCAATAAGCACAGATTATTACAGCTAAGAATGTCAAAGGAAGCAGCTTTAAAAGGAAAAAAAAAAGGAGAACAAGGTTCCTTACCTGTCTGGAGAGTTATCTCCTCGGCTGCTTTTCTGGCCACTTCCGCAGAGCACATGTTCATCCGGTAGGCCTAATACATCAGTGGCAAGTGTTACTTTGTCCTTCTTTACTTCCATAAAATAAGTAAGGAATTCATGACCTCCTAAAACTCAGTTTTATTCAGTAAGAAAATGCAGAGTGAATTAATTTGAGGTCTGAATAAAATCTTAGCCAATAAGGCCTACCAGCTGCCCCAGCAATGAAGGCAACAGGAAAGGCAAGTCTTTGGGAACTGCTTTTACATTCCTCCCCAAAACCATGAGCTAGCTGGCAAAAAGGGCAATCTCTGGACATCTGGCACATCAGAATAAGCTGATGTCATGAAATAGGCTGAAAATTAAAACAATAACAAAAACACAGTAATGGGGACTCGTGGGCTTCAGAGACAGGACACCTGGGTTCCAGAACCAGCTCTGCCACCACCTGCCTAGGTGGTTTCCTCAGCAACTCCCGCAGGCCCTGGCTTCCATCACCACATAACGGTTGGAGACACTGGGTCTGAACTTTTCATAGATTATTAACCTCTAGAGAATCTGGAGAAGGGCCATGAACCCTCTCCTTATGACTAAAAGGCAAGCATACACAAACGTCCAAAGCAGTGTCCACAAGTTCTACTGAAGTATAGTCAAGCCCATTCATTTACGTGCTATCTATTGCTGCTCTCGCACTATAATGCCAGTGTTGAGCAGCTGCAACAAAGACTGTATGTGACAACAAAGCTTAAAATATTTAATGCCTGGCCTTTTACAGAAAAAGTTTGCCAATCCTGCCCCAAAATAACACAAAAGTAATTATGACGCAATTTGATTTTCCCTTGATAACCCCAAAGGCAAGTGATTTCACAAAGCCCCAACACTGAGGGAAATCAGTGTCAAGGCACTCAGGACTACATGCCTGAACACAGAGGCAGGTCTGGGAAAAATTCCACCCAGAAATAGGAATCTCAGCATCTACCACCTATTTTCATCAGGTTTACAAAATCTGAATATGGAAGCATGGTGTTGATTAAAAAGAAACCAAATCCTTTACCCCACACCCACTAAGATGCCTACTATGACGACAAAACAAAAAACAAAATCAGGGCTTCCCTGGTGCTCAGTGGTAAAGAATCCGCCTGCCAATGCAGGAGACACAGGTTTGATCCTCTAACCAGGAAGACCCCACTTGCCTCAGAGCAACTAAGCCCATGTGCCACAACTATTAATTCTGTGCTCTAGAGTCCAGGAGCTGCAAGTACTGAAGCCCGCACTTCTCTTGTGGTCTGCAATAGAAGTCACCGCAATGAGAAGCCTGAGCACCAACTAGAGAGCAGCCCTCCCCCTCGCTGCAACTGGAGAGAAGCCTGCACAGCAGTGAAGACCCAGCACAGTCAAAAACAAATAAATAAAATTATTTAAAAAAAAATAGAAGCAGGACAAGTGCTGGCAAAGATGGAAAACTGGAAACTGCTGTACACTGCTGGTGGATATATAAAATGATGCAGGTACTGCAGAAAATAGTGTGGTAGGTTTGCAAAAAATTAAACAGAATTACTATTAAACTCAGCAACTCTACTTCTGGGTATGCACTCGAAAGAAATGCAAGCACAGATGCAGAACAGATTGTCTGTACACCATGCTCAGAGTAACATTGTCCACAATAGCCAAAAGGTAGAACCAACCTAAGTATTCAACAGTGGATGAATGAATAAACAAAATATGGTATATCCATACAATGGAATACTACTCAACTTTGAAAAAGGAAGGATATTCCAATGCCTTCTACAGCATGAGTGAACCTTAAAGGACATTAAGTGAAATAAGCCAGTCACAAAAGGACAAATACTGATAATCTGCTTACATAAGGCAACGAGGGGAGCTAAATTCACAAAGACAGAAAGCAGAATGGTGGTTTCTAGGGGCTGGGGGGAAGGGAAAATTGGGAATTATTGTTTAATGGGTACAGAGTTTATGTTACACAAGATGAAGCATTCCATGGATAGATGGTGGTAACGGTGGCACAACAAACAATGTGAATGTATGTAATGCCACTGAACTGCACGCTTAAACATGGTTAAAATGGTAAATTTTATGTTACATGTATTTTGCCATGATTTTTTTAAAAAAGGAAACCAGATCTGTCACTCAACTTAAAAAGGCTTTACAAAACTGCACACACGGCCAATCATTGTGCTTTTATTCAATTACTGCATAATAAGCATCATTTTTATTTGATTATCACTAGTCCACAAAAGAAGGCACCTGGAAAATGACTGGGCAGTCATGTTTACAATCAGAAGAGATTCCAACCATTTCCTCTGTTGACCACAAACAATAGACAACTAGACATTAGCTTGACCCTGCAGGTTTGGCAGGTTTTCTCACTAGCAACCACCAATACAGCAAATACTCATGACTATCTTAAATACAAGGAAAAATGAAGTCCTTACCAAGTGTTCCAGGCCATAGTCAGCTTGGGCAATAGCGGTGCTGCTGAAAGTATTTGTTTCAATGATATCTGCCCCAGCTAGGAGGTAGTCCTGCAACAAGAGGTCATGTCAATGCTATGAGTTACAGAATCGCTGCCCCCTAACAGTAAACTTGCCTTTTCCTCATCATCTTCACCAAATCCTTTTTGACTACTTACTAAGTGCAAGGCACTGCACTAGATACAGGATAGAGACATAAAAGGATATAGGAATTTCATAGAAAGTCATGTGGTATAAAAAAAAGAACTTGAAGTCAGACAAAGTTCAAATGTGGTGTGAACTGAGTCAAGTTCCTTAAACTCTGAGTTTCAGTTTCCTCATTTGAAAGTATTATTACAACCCTGCTTCATCAGTGGCCAGATGATAGTACAGATCGCACATCAAGCTTCTGGCACACGATGGCCCTCAACAAATATTCTGTCTGCTCCCCTGCCATGTCCCAGCTTCAGCACAACTAGGATTCTGTTGAGAAGGGCCCTCTCGCTGCAATCTCACTTCTGACCACAGCTGCTTCAGCCCACAGCTCCTGGCCCCTCTGAGCCAGATCAGAACCCTCACTAAACCCCGAGGACCTTGGTGTCCTCCTGTTCTCCCTGTTTGAAATCTTTCTTCCTTGTTTCACTCTGTCTCAATCTGATAAACACTCTGGAATCTCCTGATTTTCCAACACTGAGTAAACTCAACCCCACGTAAGCAGATAAGACACTGTTTGCAGAAAAATTTGGAAATAAAATCCAAGATTTACACACTTTTAAGTTACAAACAGCCTAAATACTCATCAATAGGGAAACGGCTAAATAAACTATAATATGTCCATTTTATTACATGTTATATGGCAGCTAAAAAACACCATGTGTGGGGAGTTCCCTGGTGGTCCAGTGGTTAAGACTCTGCTTTCACTGCAGGGGATATGGGTTTGATCCCTGGTCAGGGAACTAAGATCCTGCATGTAACAAGCAGCCAAAAAATAGGTAAAACCACAACAACACTGTGTATAAATATCTACGAATATGGAAACATCTCTAAAAATACTGTGCAGTAGAAAAACAAAATTAATATGACACCATTAAATTTAAAATATACATACAGACAAATAGTATTGAGTTTTCCAGTATACATATATATATACACTTATGTATAAAAGAATAACAAATGATTGGAAAGACATACACCAACTAGTATAAGTGGTTATCTCTGGGGAAAAAATAAAAATTTGGAGTTGTAGTTAAAAGGCAATTTATTCTTAACTATGGGTTCTGTTTTATCAGAACAAATTAAAGTTCAGCTTTTCAAAAAAGAGAAAGAAAAACTGAAAACAACCTTAATGCCTAAGAATAAGGTTAAATTAAGCAAATGGTGATAGAATAAATAAATAAATAGAATAAATCTGTACAAAGTTACTAAAACCATGTCTCAGAATATTTAATACTCATGGTATTAAAAAATGCAAATTATAAAATAGTATGAAGAAATAATAATCCCAATCTAATTTTTAAAACCCAAATACAGAAAACTAGTCTGAAATATGAATTAAAATATGTGAATGGCAAGTATGTCTTGGTAGTGAATTTACAGTCCATGGGGTCACAGAGCTGGACATGACTGAGTAACTGAGCATAAACACACACACTGATATCACAGGTGGTTTTTATTTTATGTTTTTCTATTGAGCTAGAGATTTTATTTTTGTAACAATGAACACACATTATCTCTATAATTAGGCAGAGAGTATTTCTAAATTCCCAGTTATTTTCTCCAATTCTGCATAGGTTTAAAATTTTCCATCATATGAAGTTTATAAGGTGTTTCTTCTAGCTCACCTTTTCTCTCCACTCTCTTCCCTGGAATAATATCCCACTCATGGGCTCGGGATATGACACCCGAGACCCCAAGCCTATTCTCACCAACTGAAGTGCGTGTGAGGCTGTGTTAACAAGGATGCCCAGCAAGGGCCTGCTGTGTAGCACAGGCGCCTCCGCCCCATCTGCGTGCAGCCAGGGTGGGGGTGAGCTTGAGGGGGAATGGACACATATACGGATGGCCGAGTCACTCTGCTCTGCGCCTGAAACTATCACAACGCTGCTAACCAGCTATGCTCCAATATAAAATTAAAAGTTAAACAAAGAAACAGATGGATGTGGGCAAGCTACTTCATCACTCTGCTCAATTTTCTTCTGTAAAAGCTGTCAAGATTAAAGGAGGCCATTAATGACAACATAGCCGAGGCTACCTACAGGTGTTTTAAATGACAGTTCCTGTAGGTCTCAGCCTGACAGCAGCAATGGGCTAGGAAATGCATGAGGCATTCATCTGGGCCCTACCCTCAGTGCTGAGCCAGGACGGGGCCAATCCATGGCCTGACTGGCCCTAGCGGCTCTTATCACAATTGCAAGACTCACCTCAGCAATTACTATCAGGGAACTTTTGAAAAAACAAAAAGGTCCTACTATCCACAGGTCCTGAAGGGTGCAGGCATGCTCAGGCCACACAGTGAGGTAGCTGGGGGTTGGAGGGAAATAACTGAGAGAACCAGGGTTCTGCCTTCATTGGGATCAAGGTAGATGCTTAGAATGTTGTGGGTTCACTCTTTACTGGAGAGCTTAAAACCTAACAGTAGGAATCAGGGCTCAGGAAGCAAAACGCAGGGTCACTCATTTCAGTTACCCAGGGCTTTCTCCAAGAGGAACGTCACGGTGGGGGAAGCCTGGTTGCTAGTCGGTTAGTCAGCAGCAGCCGTTTCATACAGCTGTCAGGGTGTTCATAGACAAGGATGTGTTTGAAACGGATGCCTCCCCAACCAGAAGCTGAAAGTCAGGCACCTACATTACAACCAAAACAGCTCAGTGTCAGGGACTGGCACTTTGTATAGAGCCTGGACATTCCATTAAAATGAAGGATCAAGGGATCAGCTCTATGGTCAGTAACACTACTAGAAATAACTAAGTGTGAAAAGGCCTATTCTTTTTTCCTTCCTCATCCACGAACACGACATGGTCTCTACATCCAGAGAACTCCAGCGAGTCAATATCGCACACAAATGGGACAGCCAGATACACCTTATTGTATTTACTGCCATTTTGATTCATGTCCCTATCCTGGGAAACTTGCTGTTCTTTCTAGTTGCCTATCTACCACAGAAGACAAAGATTCACCCTCTTGAAAAACATTTACTGACTTACTTTGTGCAAGATACTGTTCTCAGCTGGAATTCAGTAGTGAAAAATAGGCATAAATTAGTGCTCTCAGGAAGCTAACGGTTGGGGAAGGTGGTGATTTCACCAACTGCATGATAAGAACTGATGTTTGTATCCATGTTGGGCTTCCCTCGTGGCTCAATGTAAAGAATTCTCCTGCGGTGCAGGGGATGCAGGAGACACAGCTTCAATCCCTAGATCGGGGAGATCCCTGGAGATAGAGATGGCAACCCATTCCAGTATTCTTGCCTGGACAATCCCACAGACAAAGGAGCCTGCCAGGCTACAGTCCATGGGGTCGCAAAGAGTTGGACATGACCAAGCATGCATGCATAATTGTAACTGTATGAAGCAATTCATACCCATGATGGCATTCCCAATCTACAATATGCTGGAATTTTATAATGCAATTTGACTACATATTAGAAGGCCTAGCAGAAAAACTTGTAGAATCAACCTCTTCAAGAACCAATTTTCAATCTTCTAGTGCTGCCAATTTCTATCACAACAAAAGAAAGACACTCCTAGTTTTTCTTCAAATGAAAACTATTCTGCATCTTATCTAGAACAGTCTTGACCAGCCAAGAGAAGGTTCCTTTCACCCTCAATGAATCATTTAATCATTCATTCATTTAAGTGATTTCCTTAAGAAGAGTCTGAAAGGCACCAAAAACAAAAACAAACAAGTGGGACTACATCAAACTAAAAAGCATCTACAGAGCAAAAGAAACAAGCAATAAAATGAAAAGGCAATATACTGAATTGGAGAAAATATTTGCAAATCATGTATCTGATATGGATATCCAAAATAAAGAATTCATACAATTCAGCAACTAACAAAAAAAATACAAACAAACCAATTCAAAAAAAATGGGCAGAATACAGGACTTCCCTGGCAGTCCAGTGGTTAAGACTCTACACTTCCACTGCAGGGGGTATAGTTTGATCCCTCCTCAGGGAACTAAGATTCCATATGCAGCATGGCATGGCCAAAAAGGAAAAAATAAGCAGGAGACTAGAACAGACATTTTTCCAAGGAAGATATACAGATGGCCAACAGGTTCATGAAAAGACAGTCAACATCACTAATCATCAGGGAACTGCAAATCAAAATCACAATGCAATATCAGACCTCACCTATCAGAATGGTTTTTATCAAAAAGACAAGAAATAACAAGTGTTGGTGAAGAGATACAGAAAAGGGAACCTTCGCGCACTGTTGGCAGTAATGTAAAGTTTGCACAACCTCTATAGAAAATAGAATGGCGACTCCTCAAAAAATTAAACATAGAACTACTATATGACCCAGCAATTTTATTTCTGGGTTTTATCCAAATAAAACAAAAACACTAACTGAAAAAGACAGAAGATACTCGGTTGATTCTGCCAGTAGCATGCTTGTTTCAAGTATTAAGCCATGCACGTCTAAGCGCACACAGTCAGGACAGTGAAACTGAATGGCTCACAGAATCAGCTACGGTTCCTTCGGTGGCTTGCTTCTCTCAGAAAGCCAGAGATGAGCCCACGAGCCTAGAGGGACCTTGTCGTTGACAGGGGAGGAAAGAATGTACAATGGAGAAAAGACAGTCTCTTTAATAAGTGGTGCTGGGAAAACTGGACAGCTAGGTGTAAAAGAATGAAATTAGAACACTTCCTAACAACACACAAAAATAAGCTCAAAATGGATTAAGGACTTAAATGTTAAGACCAGAAACTATAAAACTCTTAGAGGAAAACACAGATAGAACACTCTTTGACACATATCACAGCAAGATCCTCTATAACCCACCTTCTAGAGTAAAATAAGAACAAAGATAAACAAATTGGACCTAATTAAACTGAAAAGCTTTTCTGCACAGCAAAGGAAACCATAAACAAGATGAAAAGACAACCCAGAATGGGAGAAAATAACTGCAAATAAAGCAACTGACAAAGGACTAACCTCTAAAATACACAAACAGCTCACGCAGCTCATATCAGAAAAACAACCCAATCAAAAAGTGAGCAGAAGATGTGAACAGACATTTCTCCAAAGAAGACATATAAGGCTAATAAGCACATGAAAAAATGCTCAACACCATTTACTATTAGAAAAATGCAACCAAACCTACAATGAGGTATTACCTCACAACAGTCAGAATGGCCATTATCAAAAATCTACAACAAATGTTGGAGAGAATGTGGAGAAAAGGGAACCTTCTTGCACAGTTAGTGCAAATGTAAATTGATGCAGCCACTACGGAGATTCCTTAAAACACTAGGAATAAAACAACATATGACCCAGCAATCCCACTACTGGACATACAACCTGAGAAAACCACAATTCTAAAAGACACATATATCCCAGTGTTCACTGCAGCACTATTTACAATAGCCAGGACATGGAAGTAACCCAATGTCTAGCAACAGATGAATGGATAAAGAAGATGTGGTACACATATACAATGGAATATTATTCAGCCATAAAAAATGAATTTGAGTCTGTTCTAGAGAGGCAGATGAACCTAGAGTCTGTCACACAGAGTGAAGTAAGTCAGAAAGAGAAAAACAAATATCATATACTAACGCATATATATGGAATCTAAAAAAGTGGCACTGATGAACCTATTTGCTGGGCAGGAACAGAGATGAAGGCACAGAGGACAGACTTGTGGACACAGCAGGAGGAGAGGGTGGGATGAACTGAAGAGCAGCACTGAAACATATACACGACCATATGTGAGACAGCCAGTGGGCATTTGCTGCAGGACACAGGGAGCTCGCCCAGGGCTGTGTGACAGCTTGGGGGGCAGGCAGGAGGGAAGCTGGAGGAGGAGGACGAGGGCACACCAATGCCTAATTCACGCTGATGTACGGCAGAAACCAACACAGTGCTGCAAGGCAGCTAACCTCCAGTTAAACAAATTAAAAAAAAAAAGAGGTACCCATGTTCACTGTAGCATTATTTACAGTTGTCAACATACGGACACAATCCAAGTGTCCACTGACAGGTGAAGGAAAATAGGAAATGTCATATGTATACGTATGGAATGTAACTGAGCTATAAAAAAGAAGGTGGTTGCCAGAAGTTGGGGAGTGGACAGTGGGGGAAACAGATGAAGGGGGTCAAAAGGTACAAGCTTCCAGTTATAAAATAAGTCATGAAGATGTAACGCACACCATGAAGACTGTAGTTAATACTATTATAAGTTGCTAAGAAGCTAGATCTTAAAAATCTTCATCACAAGAAAAAAACTGTAACTACGTATGGTAACAGATATTACCTAGACTTACTGTGGTGACCACTTTGTAACATATGCTAATATCTAATCATCACACTGCACACCCATAACTAATGTTATTTGTCAGCTATACTGCAATTTTTTAAAGAAGTCTGAAGTACCTATAACAATGCCCTACTCCAAAGAGAAAATTTTCTCATTAAAGTCACTTTGTCCTTCAAATTGAATCTAGACCAAGAAAACAGATTAAATCAACTTATTATTTCTTTTAGCCATAGTTCTACAAAATTCCTATAACCTATAAAACAATTTAGTTTTATGTTTATTTTTAAAAGTCCAGCAATACCCAGTTACTTGCTTCTGACTTTATGCTGACTTTGACTTTATGCTGACTAGCCAGACAGAAAAATGAGATGAAAGAACATGGGATTTCAAGTCAGCAATCCTTTGTATCACCAGTTATTTAATCTCTGAGATGCTCAGTTTTCAAATCTACAAAATGAGAATAACAATTACCTTTCAGTTTCACACCACTAGGGCTGCTGTAGTAAATTAGGTGCCCCAAAGGAAATCAGGCCTGAATATTCATTGGAAGGACTGATGCTGAAGCTCCAAAACTTTGGCCACCTGATATGAAGAACTGACTCACTGGAAAAGACCCTGATGCTGGGCAAGACTGAAGGCAGGAGGACAAGGGGACGACGGAGGATGAGATGGTTGACTGGCATCACCGACTCTATGGACATGAGTCTGAGCAAGCTCCAGGAGCTGGTCATAGACAGGGAAGCCTAGCGTGCTACAGTCCATGGGGTCGCCAAGATGACTGAGCAGCCAAACTGAATGAAACCTCCTTTCTGAATAAGCCAGCTCTTTCTGAATAAATCACCCCTTTTTCTGTCTCCCCCAGAGCACTTAGCACAGTGGTCTGCCCTCAGGACACCAAAGGACTTGCAGACTGATAGGTAAAAATGAAAGAGCTCAAGGAAGCTTTACCTTGTGGATTTGGTAAATGACGCTGGGCTGGGTTATACTTAAAATATCACTGTTGCCTTTCAGGGCCCTGGCGTGGTCTTTGAACTCTTGTCCTCGGTAGTCTTCTTCACTCAGCTTGTGCCGCTGGATCATGGTCCCCATCCCTCCATCAAGCACCATGATCCTCTCCCGCAGGATGGCTTCAATCTCATCTCGCAGGGTCTTCTCCATCCCTGCTTTAAAGAAAGTGAGAATCTGAGTTTCCAAAATGAAAGGGGAAAAAAAGGTGTGGAGAGGGACTGCAGACTAAATTAAAATAATTCACAACAGGGAGTAAGTGGGGTTCATAAATATATTCTCGCAATCCTGTCGCCTTTCAAAAAGGCTGCCCCAAAATGTTTTCATTAAGTTACAACAATGCTTAATGAAACAAGAGGCGGTACACAGCACAGAGTCACTGGTTTAAGGGAGGCTGTAGTTATTCTTGTCTCAAAGATGAGCACAACAGACAGCAAAGAGCCAACGGCTTCAAGCCCAGGCCAGCTGCTGGAGGCCTGCAGGACTCCCTCCCCGCTGGTTCTGTGCATGTGCCCAGAGTGAGACATAAGAAGACTTGGATTGATGACTGAAAGCCATCAATGATTCCAAACTGCCATTTAGACTGCTAAGTCTGACAGTCTCCTCCACCTACCACGAGAACTCATGACAGTCTACCCGGCCTTGAAAAGCCCTAATGCCTGCTCCTTCCAATCCTATTTTCTGGTCTCCAAGAACTACTGGAAAGCCACAAAGCCATGCTGATTGGAATCACCGCAAATTCCTAACTTGAGCCTTTTCTTCGGTTTACCTTTCCTCAGCTCCCTCAACAGCACTTCCCATACCTGCTATCCCAGACCTCTGCTTGCCTTTAGCACAAAATCCTTCTCATCCTTTTAACTCAGAGGTGACTTCACCTAATCCTGTACAAAAGAGTCTTCTTTGGGGAGCTCCTCAAATTCACCCCCCACACACACACCACAAAACCCTCTTGCAGCTTGGTTCCCTCTGCACCTAAAGAAGAACATGTGATCACTCCCACCCACACCTCCCACTGTCCCTCCCGTCTACCCCTTCCCACCTCCAGCAATGCTACCTCAACCTGTCTTCATGCTGCGGCTTCTTCCTCCACACGCTACCGAAATCACTCCCTAAAGTCACACATGATCTTCTGATTATCAGAAACACTGGGCTCCAATCTAAGACTCAGGCTCCAAGCTGGCCAGTTGTTACAGCCTGCCCCTCAATCTACTATCCAAAACCAAACTTGCCACATTCCCTGTCGGATTTCTCTACTTTTGTAAATGCATCATCCTTCCCAGAAGGCTGGCTTGACAATCTCAGTGTTATGTGACCCCTCACTCTCCTTGATAATCAATATCTACTCAGATCTCAAGCCCCATAGCTCTGGCATCCAAAATGCCATCCACATTGGGTCCACCTTCCATCCCCAGTGCCAACCCTTTCCTCAAGACATTACTACACATCCAGCCATTACAGGCCCTCTCTGAGCTTCAGTCTGCATCCATGAAAACTAAGAAAGACAATGCCTGCTCATCCTAACTTCACAGAATTGTCTTATGGGTTAAAGGAGATCAGATACAAAGATGCTTTGTTAAAAAAAAAAATCAAGTGTCATATAAAGTGTCATCTCAACCACCGGGGTGACTATACCTGGTCACCCTGTTTCAATCCATCCTATGCATTAGATTCATCTTCCTAAAAAGCATGTTTAAACCAGTTGCTTCCAATGCATCCAACCTTCAACAATTCCCTACTGCCTACCAAATTTACTACAAGTTATTCAAAACAAATCACAATGACACCCACCTCTCTTGTCAACATGTGCTTCTGTGCTCCCTGAGAGGGAAGCAAAGCTGGAGTAAAATGCAGCTGGCTCTAAGCTCTTTGAGCCTCTTGGAGGGAGACTGCGATTAGGCCAACTCATCTGTATCCCTAGCAACACCAAGGACAGTATCCAGCACTTAAGTGTTCAGTAAGTATTTCCTAAACTGACACAGCAAAAGAGTGAGGAAAGATGACAAGAGAAGGTCATTTAAGCCCCAAACCAGTAACATATGAACATTTGTAAACTGGCAGTGGTGCAAATTTAAAACCCAGCTCTTACTGTCCAGAGTCTTAGGTATTCTATATAGAAACAGGGGATGCATGGTAGCTATAGAGTTATTTTGACTGAATTACTCCTTAATAGGCTTCAGAAAGGTTGCTCTAGCAAGCTGTAAAGTAAATTTGTCGGTATGTGGTTTCTTTCCTAGAGGACATTATGTTTATTTCAGGGTTTACTATTCCTTTCCAAAACTAACTCACTGGCTAATTTTGTTTATTGAGCTAACAGGGGAAAGAAAACTGTTCCTGAAAAAGGAACAAAGTTAAGATCCAAAAATCTGAGCAGTAGTACCTCAAGCACCAAAGGAAAAAAGCCACTTTCTGAAAGTGTGAAGAAAAGGCAGGGCTTAATAAGACATGTATACTAGAAAGACTGTAGGCAACCGGGAAGTGGTCTGGTCATTTCCAATTAATGTCAACAAAGGCAATTCAGGGGTGGTGCTAATTTAGACATCCCATGATGTGGCTGTCCTTCAGCTAAGAAGCACCCAGAATTTGATATGATTAAGCTAATGGGGACAGGACAAAAAAAGCCAAGAAATCTGGGTTTTAGCCCCAGCTCTCAAAGGTAGCTATGGAGTTTTAGACAAACTGTGTTTTGCCTTATCACAGGACATGTGACAACAGAACAAGATGATGCATTTGAAGGCATGTTCCAGATGTTAACAACTGGGATTCTCATATCATAAAAGTCATGAAATGAGACATATAACCTTGGCATAATCACCCCACAAATGTTAGCAATTCCTATTATGTCATTATTATTGCATAGCTAATAAAAAGTAGAGCTAGGATCGAAACTCTAAAGGTTGCTTTCTATACTCTACAAGTCCAGTGGGTTAAGAAAAAGCATCAAGGAAGCCTGAAGTGCTCAGCTCTGTTCATGTTGGGGCAGGAGGCAGGAATGGCATGTTTGCAGGTTTAGAGATGAACCTGAATGAGGCAGAGCAAACACAATAATCAGCAAAAACATTTACATGGAGATCCTTTCAGATGGGGAATCAAAAGAAAGATTAAAAACTTCAATCTATATGCTCAACTGAATTCCTTTCTTTTTCAAAGAATGTAGCTGCAACCCTTCCTAAAATGAGAGCATGTGTGACTGAATCACCCAACTGATGGGAACCCAGGGTGTGGACATGGTGGTGGTGGAGGGAAGCTGGAGGAGGGAGTAGGTGCATGCATGCAATCTAATTCTTTTCCCCAAACTTTAAACATTTTGTAATGGTGTACAGGCAATTAACAATGTCGTGGTAGTTTCAGGAGAAGAGGAAAGGGACTCAGCCATACACATACACGTGAGCATTCTCCCCCAAACCTCCCTCCTCTGCACATAACATTGAGCAGAGTTCCATGTGCTATACAACAGTCCCTGTTGGCTATCCAAGGCATTCAAGGGATTTCCCTGGTAGTCCTGCGGTTAAGACCTTGCCTTCCAACGAACGAGGCACAGGCTTGATCCCTGGTTGGGGAGCTAAGATCCCACGTGCCTCAGGGCCAAAAAAACAAAACATAAAATAGAAGCAATACTGTAACAAGTTCAATAAAGACTTTAAAAATGGTCCATGTCTATACTACTCAAAACAATCTACAGATTCATTGAAATCTCTATCGACTATCAATGGTATTTTTCACAGAACTAGAACAATTTCACAATTTGTATGGAAACACAAAAGACCTCAAATAGCCAAAGAAATCTTGAGAAAGAAAAAGAGAGATGGAAGAATCAACCTTCCTGACTTCACACTATACTACAAAGCTACAGTCATCAAGACAGTATGGTACTGGCACAAGAAGAGAAATACAGACCAACAGAATAACATAGAAATCTCAGAGGTAAACCCATGTTCCTATGGGTACCTTGTCTTTGACAAAGGAGGAAGAATAAAAGAATATACAATGGAGAAAAGACAGCCTCTTCAATAAGTGGTGCTGAGAAAACTGGACTGCTACATGTAAAAGAATAAAACTAGCACATTTCCTAACACCATGCACAAAAATAAACTCAAAATGGATTAAAGACTTAAATAAATGTAAGCCCAGAAACTGTAAACCCCTTAGAGAAAAACACAGGCAGTATACTCTTGGACATAAATCACAACAAGATCCTCTTTGACTCACCTCGGAGAGTAACAGAAATAAAAACAAAAATAAACAAATGGGGCCTAATTAAACTTTAATGCTTTTGCACAACAAAGGAAACCATAAACAAGATGAAAAGACAACAGTCAGAATGGGAGAAAATAATTGCAAACAAAACAACTGACAAAGGATTAATCTCCATATAAGCAGTTCACACATCTCAATATAATATCAGAAAAACAAACAGCCCGGTCAAAAAATGAGCCAAAGACCTGAACGGGCATTTCTCCAAAGAAGACACACAGGTGGCCAACAAACACATGAAAAGATGCCCAACATCATTAGTTATTAGAGAAGTATAAATCAAAACTACAATGAGGTGTCACCTCACACCAGTCAGAATGGCCATTATCAAAAAAATCTACCAACAATAAAAGCTACAGAGGATGTGGAGAAAAGGGAACCCTCCTCCACTGTTGGTGGGAATGTAAATTGATGCAGGCACTATGGAGAACAGTGTGCAGATTCCTTAAAAAACTAGGAATAAAACTATGATATGATCCAGCAATCACACTACTGTGCACAGACCCTGAGAAAAACCACAATTCTAAGAGACACATGTACCCCAATATTCATTAATGCACTATTTACAATAGCCAGGACATGGAATCAGTCTAGATGTCCATCCACAAATGTATAAAGATGTGTTTCATAAATAACAATGGAATATTACTCAACCATAAAAAAGAATGAATTTGAGTCAGTTCTAGTGAGGTGAATGAACCTAGAACCTATTTAAACAGAGTAAAGGAAGTCAGAAAGAGAAAAACAAATATCATTTTTAATGCTTATATATGGAATCTAGAAAAATAGAATTGATGAACCTATCTGCAAGGAAGGAATGGAGACACAGATATAGAGAATGGACTTGTGGACGCAGTGGGAAAAGGAGAGAACAGATGAATGGAGAAAGCAGCATCAACATATA